GTGGTCTCACTGAGACAGGAGGATTGCCATGAACTCAAGACCAGCCTGGGGTAGGTAGTGAGTTCCAGGCCAGGGCTTGGAAAACAACCTACCACCAAGCAATACTGTCTTCGTGTTTCTATTGCTGTGAAGAGACACCATGACGTCAGTCAAGGAGAACCCTTAACTGGGGCTCGGAGGTTAGCTCATCGTCACCGTGTTAGGAAACAGGTACGGTAGCGCTCCCGATGCCACACATGGCAGCGCACAGGCAGACACAGTGATGGAGAGGGAGCTGGAAGGTCTTTGGCTGGATCGGCAGGTGGCAGAGAGAGCGGGAGCGGGCCCCAGAGTGCACCCCACAGTGACACACCCCTCCTAATGCCACTCCCTAAGCATTAATAGATGGGTCTGTGGAGGCCAGTCTTAATTCAAACCATCACAAACACCCTTGAGCCTTGGTGTCCTTGTGCACACAGATAAGCGCTGGAGAAGCCAGGAAAGTTAACTGTGCAGGCTTTCTTGTCAAAGAAGGAAATGTTTACCTGTCTTCCTCCTGGAATGTTGGGGGCGGGGAGGGAGGATTCAACCCGACCCTTTGTTATCTGGGGGGCCTGGCTTCACCTGGACCCCCCAGAATATTATGTTTATTTGTCTCAGAACCCGTTTCCCCTTTCAGATCTTGAGCATTGCTTCTTAGTCCACAAAACCCATCCTTCTAAAAGACATCATTGTTCTTTACAACAGCCCGAGTAACTTGGGTGTTATCTTCGGACGGGTCACTCCTGACGCCCACAGGCATTATGGGAGGGCATTCCCTCAGTTATTCTCCCTAGATCCTTATCTTGAGCACTGTTTCTGTGTCAACAGAACCCGTCTTTATGGAAGAGGCCATCTGTACTCTGTAAAGAGTTTCAAGGTAAACGTGTCTTAAGAACACTTAAGTACGCTTGGACTGAGTTCACTGTCATCAGGAAACCTTTTTCCAAAATTGCGCTGTGCTTAGATATGGCTAAAATAAACCCCCTGGAGTCAGACTCCAGAAGTTTGACCAGCAGCAGCTCAGTCGGCTGAACTGAGCTCATTCTTACCTCCCTCGGATTTCGTCCCCTCCAGCCGCGCTGCTTGCAGGTCTGTGCATCACAGCTGTTTGTGGTGCCCGAGACAGCGTTGGGCAGAAGACAGTGTGGGTGTTTCGGACAGTTATGAGCAGTCATGCGAGGACTGGGACGTGAACGTGGCTCCTCTGGAAGAAGACCAAGTGCTCTTGGCTGCTGACCCATCCCTTCAGCCCCTCAAATGGAGTTTTAAATGAAACCTACATGGAGATATCCACAGACCATGAAATCCACCCTTTTTACGTGTTCCATCTTGTTTTCACTATATTCGGTTATCTGACGTCACCACTAATTTTAGAACCTTTTTACCTCCCCAAGAGAGGAAAGCCCATACTCAGTGCAGTCTCCTACACTGTCTTCCGAACCCTAGAGAACCACTAGTCTACGGTGTCTGCGGGTTCTCTGGTTCCAATCCATTATGTAGTATGTGGCCTTTGGGAATTGGCTTCTTTTCATTTGAACAGCATTTTTAGGTTAATCCAGGTCACGACCTTTGAGACCTTCACTCCTTTTATGGTTAATCAGATTCTGTGGCATAACGACATTTCCCTTATGCCTTCACCAGTCGGGACATTTCAGTTGCTTGCAGTTTGGGGCCATTATAAATAATATTTCCATGAATTTTCACATACAAGTTTTTGTGTTAACATCTGCTTTAATGTCTTCGGGATATATTCATAGACATGAATTTATTGGGTTTTATGGTTTTAGGGTTTTTACTGGATTTCGTGGTGCATGGTCTTGATTCCAGCACTCAGGAGGAGTTCTGAGATTCAAGGCCAGCCTGACATACACAGCAAGTTCCAGGTCAGCCACAGCTACCTAGCCAGACCCTGTCTCAAAAACTTTTTTTTTTTAAGTTATCAAACTATTTTTCAGAGTGGTTTTTACCAAAGCTGGGCATTGTCATTTATGGTCCCAGCACTTGGAAGGCAAAGGCAGAAAGATCAGGAGTTAAAGGCCAGCCTGAGCTACAAGAGACCTTGTCTCAACAAACAAAACTTAAACTCAAATCAGAAGAGGGACTGGAGAGATTGCTCACTGGATATAACACTCACTTCTCTTGCAAAGGACCTGAGGTCAGTTCCTAGCACCCATGACAGGCAGCTCACGATCACCTGCTACCCCAACTCCAGGGCTTCAACACAATTCTTACCTCTGTGTGTTGTTTTGAACAAAATCTCAGACTTTCAATTTACTAACAAGGATGCTGGGGTAAAATCAGGCTAGCTCGGAGGCAGAGAAAGCACCCAGCTGACTTTTCTCCTCAGTTGGTGTCTCAAAAAGATTTTATGTGTCTCACCTGGAAGTATGTGTACCACATGTGTGCCTGGTGCCCAAGGTCAGAAGAGGCGTCAGCTCGTCTGCAACTGGAGTCACAAATAGTTGTGAACCACCATATGGGTGCTGGGAATTGAATCTGCGTCTGTATGAGCAGCAAGTGCTCTTAGCCACTGAGCCATTTCTCCAGTAATCCCCCACCCACCACCCTTTTTTTGAAGCAGAGTTTCACGAAGCCCAGGATAGCCTTAAACTCACTCTCTATGTAACTGAGAATGACCTTGAACATCTGTCTTTCTGCCTCTGCCTCCCGAGTACTGGGATTGTAGTTATATGCCACCATACCTGGTTCATGTAATACTGGGGTTCAAACCAGGACCTTGTATATACTAGGTAAGCAGTCTACCAAACCAGGTGCATCTCCAGTCCCAGCTTCCCTCTTCACGGCACTAAAATAGTGAAAACTTATTATTTCAGCATCTCCTGAGCACTTACATGAGCCAGCCTCTAGAAATTCAAAGATGAGAAGGATTCGAATCCTTAAGTAGCTTATAGTCAATGGTCTGGCAGAACTACTGTAACAAGTTAGTGTAATACAAAATACATGCAGCGACAAAGCTGCATTCAGGGAAATGAACATAGAGCCTGGGAGATGGAAACTACACTAAGGGAGCCGGGGACAGGCTTGCATAATAGTTAATGCCATCGTGGGGGTCGTTAACGCCTTTGGGGTCTCAGCTTCTCATCAGCAGACCTGTTCTTCCCAAGGCTACTCAAACCTTTCTTTCTGGGCTAGAACAGAAGGGGACCCTAAAAGGAAGTGCTCAAAAAAATAGAGACCCACCCAGGAGTGCTGGCACTCAATGCACCCCACTTACAGAGGAAAAGAAATGTAACCTCAGTAGATTCTGGGTTTACCTGGATCGTAATTCTGTCCAAGGCATCTCCAGAACATTTGGAACTGTGGCCTTGGAGTCTCTGCCTCTCCCTCTTCTCCTGGCAGGATTACAGGCGGGAGCCAACCTTCCTGCTTATCATTCTGCCTTAGCTTAGTACTTCAATCAACTGAGGTTACACAGTGTTAGTTCTCGTTGTAGTGGGGAGTGGGGTCTAAACCCAGGCAGTACTCGCAGCCCCCGCGGGATGGAGGCGGGACGACCAGTTCAAGGTCATCTGCAGCCGCCCCGCAAGAGGCCGCCGGCAAAGGCTCCCGAGGAGAGCCTGTCTCACACCAAACACACAGGGAGGGAGCCGAACGAGTCCCGCAAAGCTGGGCTTTTCCAAAAAGGCCGCGCGTCCTAATCCCGACCCTGTCGGGGGAAAGCGCGGGTGAAAGAAGCACAGAGCTCCAGCCCACCACCGCGGGAGCGGCGCCGGGAGCCCTCGAGCCGCCCGGCTGGGAGCGCGGCGGCCCCCGCG